TCTACAGCCCTTCAGACGACGGAATACCAAAGGAATGAACCTGGGACGGCAGGCGCGCCGCCCTGGTACACAGGCAGAAGGGGCGCACTCCCAATCGGAAGGAAAACCTGGCGAGCAATGGCTCTCCTACATGAGGTCCGACCATCCCCAGCTGTGCACGAGCTTAGGCAAGAACCCAAACAGGTGCAGTCAGCTGCACCTCGCGAGACTCTTTGCCATACATGGACCAGTGCAGAGCCCGTCAGCACCCGAGCTGGTCTACGACGCGCCTGGCGGAGACAACCCCGACGGGGCCGACTCGAGTGCCACCGCGAAGACACCCCCCAACAAGATAAGGGCACCAGGCGCTCGGGCTGAGCGCCCGAACCCAGCCCAGGCACGGCGCGCCATCGCAGGGCACCGCCACCGCGGCCAAAACCCCGCCCCAGTCAGAGGTTTTCAAGGGCACCCTGGCCCAAGCGAGCGCAGACAACAGTGCGGCAGAGGGCGCACCTGCTGCGTGGTTGGAGGCACAGGCCGCCAGCTCTGCAGCCCCCGTGCTGCCCCCCCTTACCCAGGAGGCGAGTGCGACCGCACCGTCGTCTTCCAGGTCAGAAGGCCCCTGCCGCAAGCGGCGAGGTGGAGGTTGACTATTCATCAGGCTCCGACGCCCCAGATCAACATTCCCAGGCGCACCTCAACGATGAGACCCGCGCGGCCGACCGTGCCCAGGCAGAGCGGACAGTCACCCAGCCCCCACAGCACAAGCAGGCTGCGGAGGACAGCGGCGCAGTCGTGGCGGACACAGGTGGACCCAACCCCAACGACCGCCGCACCAACAGCACAGCGACAGAACGGGCCGCAGCAACCGAACCCGGAGACGGACGAGCACGTGAGTCCCCCAGGGCAGCCGAGCGAGGGTACAGTCGCAAACGCCATCACCCTTGGACTGAACACGCAAACCCATCGCGCTGGCCTGGAGGCGCAGGTACGACACAGGGCTCCGCGGGCTGACCCAGGCTATGCTCGCGACTACGACCACAGCGACGCGCTATACATTCGGCCCCGACGGATGATCACCTGGTATCAGGCATGGAACTACAAAACCAGCACCCGCGAAATCTAGCCAGAGGTCGTCAACAGGCTAAAGCGGGACTGCGGCGGCTTCTTCGTCGAAGGATTGAACGCCTTCTGCGACGCCAGGGAAAAGCGAGCACCAGAGAGAGGGACCTACAATCCCGCGGGGTATGACGACTTCTGCGAGGAGTTCGTGAACGACCTGTACCACGCCTATTACGAAGTCCGCAAGGTCTTCAGATTGCGGGGAGTCCATAATCGACTGGGGGGCTGTCTGGGAACGCCAGCTCCAGCGCAGCGAGCAGCAGCGAGACAAAGACCGGGGCACAGGGAAAGGCCACGACCGGGTCGGGACAGGCGAGATACGCGCCGACCACAACGATCAGTCGAGGCCACGCTGTCCCGACCCGCCAGGCCTGCCCAACCTCTGAGGCCTCGGCATCGCGGCCACGCTGGGCAACAGCCGCAACCGCACGCCCAGCGCTAGCCTCCCCGAGCGGCTGCCCAGAGCACCGGGGTCACCAGCGGGGGATCACCTGGGCGGCCTCACGGCGCTTTCTCTGACGTGCGAGTGTCTGGTCCGATTTCACCGACGGCGTCGCTGCGGGTGCCTTTTGCTCTCGCGTGCTGAGCCTCGTCATCGCCCGTGGCTGCCCCGACGCTGCGGCCGGGCAGCTGCCGCGGTGCCCGCTGACGAGGCCGGTCGCGCCGGCGCGCTCAGGTCGGAAGCGTTCCGCCGCTGGGGGCCCCTTCCTCCCCCCCTCCTCCGCGGCCGCCCTGTCCGTCTCGTTCCCCTGACCTGCTTGCTAGGCAATTCGCTTCTCGGTGCTTCCGTTCAGCTCTATCGCTGGTGCAGCCATTCTGCCCCGCCGCCGACCAGCAAAATGCTTGTTTTTTTTCTGCGCCAGCGTGCGGAACGCACCCTGTCAGAGATGGAGGGCGGGCGGTGGCGTGAACAGCAGCGGTGGGCACTGCTGCCGAAGTGAATGCCCGAGATCAGCGAGCCAGACGGCCACTGTGTACAGCTTGAAGCCGTGGGGGTGTACTGGCGAAGATGGGGGGAGTTCCGACCAACACTGCAACATTGCGATGCGAGCTGTTCCTTATTTGTCGAGGAACGAATGATGACATAAACACAAACGTCGGAAGTCCGCTCGGATTCCTCGGATCGGCGCTAAAACCCTCTGGCGGCACCTCCTGCGCCGCCCGTGGAACGCTCCGCGTCCTCAGGAAAAGGGTTCCAGGACCCGTCCAAGAAATCTGTGCTGATTCGTAAACGTTCATGTTTGTGTCCTCGGTGTCGGCGTCTGCGTCTGCGTCGGCGTCTGCGTCGTTGTCGGCGTCGTGGGGAGGAGGAGGAGGAGGAGGAGGAGGAGGAGGAGGAGGAGGAGGAGGAGGAGGAGGAGGAGGAGGAGGAGGAGGAGGAGGAGGAGGAGGAGCGGAGGAGGAGGAGGAGGAGGAGGAGGAGGAGGAGGGAGGAGGAGGAGGAGGAGGAGGAGGAGGAGGGAGGAGGAGGAGGAGGAGGAGGAGGAGGAGGAGGAGGAGGGAGGGAGGAGGAGGAGGGGAGGGGAGGGGGAGGGGGAGGGGGAGGGGGAGGGGGAGGGGGAGGGGGAGGGGGAGGGGGAGGGGGAGGGGAGGAGGAGGAGGAGAGGAGGAGGAGGAGGAAGGAGGAGGAGGAGGAGGAGGAGGAGGAGGAGGAGGAGGAGGAGGAGGAGGAGGAGGAGGAGGAGGAGGGAGGCGGAGGCGGGGGATGCTACGCGCGTCCTCGTTGAGCAAATCGGCTCCACGCCCCGCCGTCCCACGCGAGCGCCCCGCGGGCGCCTCCGCGCGGTGCCGCCCGCCCCGCGGGCGGCATCCGGCCGCCTGCGGCAGCTGCTGCGCCGTGGCGGCCGGCGCGCCGCCTGCCTTGCGCACCGTCGGCGGTGTCGGCCGGCGCCGTCGGCTGGCGCCCGCTGCGCGGGCGACGACGGAGGGCCCGGAGGGCTCGAAGGGGCGCCCCCGCAGATATGCGCGTTGCAATCGCTTCGCACCGAGCGTTTTCGCCCAGTTTCGGGCCCAGGGACCTCACGTGTCGATCCGGCTCGGAGAAGATGTGATTAAAAAGATGGGGTCTGAGGCTCTGGTGGTGATGCTTTGCGTTGCCTCATCTTTTTCCCAACCATCCTGTGGTGTTGGGTCCTCGTTTTGAAGAGAGAGCGCCCCGCGTCCCACCTCCTTCCTCCTTCCTCCTCCTCCCCCCTCCTCCCCACCCCCCGTGGGCCCCAGTGGCCCTATAGGGAGCTCCACCGAAGGCCCCAGTGGGGGTGCCCGCATGCGGTTCCCCCACCCAGGGCAGCGTTTCGTGGCCCCAAAGGGAGCTTTACCGTAGGCCCCAGTGGGGGTGCCCACATGCGGTTCCCCCTTCCCGCATGCGGTTCCCCCACCCAGGGCAGCGTTTCGTGGCCCCACAGGGAGCTCCACCGTAGGCCCCAGCGGGGGTGCCCGCATGCGGTTCCCCCACCCAGGGCAGCGTTTCGTGGCCCCATAGGGAGCTCCACCGAAGGCCCCAGTGGGGGTGCCCGCATGCGGTTCCTCACATCACCACTGTGGCAGGCCGCATCACACAGTTCGTGGCCCCATAAGGAGCTCCACCGAGGACGATATTCACAACTGCGGTACCCACAACTGCATATGGTTGGGTCCTTCGCCAGGCTAATTTGAAATCTCAAATCTGAAGGACGGGCCCGAGGGCTCGAAAGTCGAATCAGAAAAAGCTGCATGCACCTAAACTTTTGGAGCTCCGCGCGGGTTTCTCGGGTCGGCGCTGGGGTCCCCGCGGAGGCGCCTCTGACGCCGCCCCTGGCGCGCGCGCCGGGGGGGGGGGTCCAATGTCCAACGCCGATCCAAGTAATCCGTGCGGATCTCCGAGAGTTTATGTTCATGCAGTTTTTTGTCCCTTTGGAAATGGTCCCCAGGTACCGATACGGCTGCACCTTCCCTCGTTATCCGCGTTTGTGTGCCTCCTGGCAGGCCCTCGTCGCCATGGCTGGATGTGCTTCTGGTCAGAACGCAAGCGGGGAGAGGTCTGGGGAGCAGCAGCATCTGTATCTTTCTTCGATTCAGGCTCTCCTAGCTCGAAATACCACGTATTTCTGACCATCTGATCTTTTCAGTCCCAGCGTTCCCTGAGATCCGGGCGTTGCAGTTTTTCCCAACCATCCTGTGGTGTTGGGTCCTCGTTTTGAAGAGACAGCGCCCCGCGTCCCACCTCCTTCCTCCTCCCTCCTCCTCCCCCCTCCTCCCCCCCCCCCCCAGTGCAGCGTTTCGTAGCCCCATAGGGAGCTCCACCGAAGGCCCCAGTGGGGGTGCCCGCATGCGGTTCCCCCACTCAGGGCAGCGTTTCGTGGCCCCATGGGGAGCTCCACTGCAGGCCCCAGTGGGGGTGCCCGCATGCGGTTCTCCCACCCAGGGCAGCGTTTCGTGGCCCCATAAGAAGCTCCAGTGGGGGTGCTCGCATGCGGTTCCCCCACCCAGTGCAGCGTTTCGTGGCCCCATAAGGAGTTCCACTGTAGGCCCCAGTGGGGGTGCCCGCATGCGGTTCCCCCACCCAGTGCAGCGTTTCCTAGCCCCATAGGGCGCTCCACCGTAGTCCCCAGTGTGGGTGCCCGCATGCGGTTCCCCCACCCAGTGCAGCGTTTCGTGGCCCCACAGGGAGCTCCGCCGTAGGCACCAATGGAGGTGCCCGCATGCGGTTCCCCCACCCAGGGCAGCGTTTCGTAGCCCCATAGGGAGGTCCACCGAAGGTCCCAGCGGGGGCGGTTCCCCCACCCAGGGCAGCGCTTCATGGCCCCATAGGGAGCTCCACCGAAGGCCCCAGTGGGGGTGCCCGCATGCGGTTCCCCCACCCAGGGCAGCGTTTCGTGGCCCCACAGGGAGCTCCACCGAAGGCCCCAGTGGGGGTGCCCGCATGCGGTTCCCCCACCCAGGGCAGCGTTTCGTGGCCCAACGGGAGGTCCACCGTAGGCCCCAGTGGGGGTGCCCGCATGCGGTTCCCCCACCCAGGGCAGCGTTTCGTGGCCCCACAGGGAGCTCCACCGCAGGCCCCAGTGTGGGTGCCCGCATGCGGTTCCCCCACCCAGGGCAGCGTTTCGTGGCCCCACAGGGAGCTCCACCGCAGGCCCCAGTGGGGGTGCCCGCATGTGATTCCCCCACCCAGCGCAGCGTTTCTTGGCCCCATGGGAGCTCCACCGAAGGCCCCAGTGGGGGTGCCCGCATGCGGTTCCCCCACCCAGGGCAACGTTTCGTGGCCCCATAAGGAGCTCCACTGTGGGCCCCAGTGGGGTCCCCGCATGGGGTTCCCCCACCCAGTGCAGCGTTTAGTAGCTCCATAGGGCGCTCCACCGAAGTCCCCAGTGGGGGTGCCCGCATGCGGTTCCCCCACCCAGGGCAGCGTTTCGTGGCCCCACAGGGAGCTCCACCGTAGGCCCCAGTGGGGGTGTTTCGTGGCCCCATAGGGAGCTCCACCGAAGGTCCCAGTGCTACCGTCCTCATGCGTCCCGCACACCCAGTACAATGTTTCGTGGCCCTCCTCGGGAGCCCCACCGAAGGTCCCAGCGCTAGCGTCCGCATGCGTCCCGCACACCCAGTAGAGCGTTTCGCGGCCCCATAGGGAGTTCCACCAAGGCCCCAGTGCCCCCGTCCGCATGCGTCCCGGAAGCCCAGTTTAGCATTTTCACCCACCCAGTGCAGCGTTTCGTGGCCCCATAGGGGGCTCCACCCAACGCCCCAGTGCCACCGTCCGTATGCGTCCGGGAACCCAATTTGGCATTTTCACCCGCACAGTGCAGCGTTTCGTGGCCCCATAGGGGGCTCCACCGAAGACCCCAGTGGGATCGTCCGCGTGCGTCCTGGAAACCCAATTTGGCATTTTTTTTCACTCAGTAGAGCGCTTCGTGGCCCCATAGGGAGCTCCACCGAAGCCCTCAGTGGGACCGTCCGCATGCGTCCCGGAAACCGAATTCGGCACACCACCCACACAGTACAGCGTTCCCCCCCGCCCAGTGCAGCGCTTCGTGGCCCCATAGGGAGCTTCACCGAAGCAAATATTCACAATTACTGTACCCACAACTGCATATGGTTGGGACCTTCGCCAGGATAATTCTTCTTCTACCTTCTATTTGTTCTTATTCTTCTTCTTATTCTCTCCTCCTTCGCTTCCTCTTCCTCCTCCTCTACCTCCACCTTCTTGCTCATCCTCCTCGTCCTTCTCCTCGCTTTCCCTCCTCCTCGCTTTTCCTCCTCCTCGCTCCTCGCTCCTCTTTCCCCCTTGTCGCAGCTGGGCCTCCGGGGCCTCACTGGGGGCCTGCTGCAGGAGGGCGGCGATGCCGCCCGCTTGCGCGGGAGCCTCTTGGCGTGCCGGCGCGAGCTGTCGTTCGCGCGGGCGCGCCTGCAGGTGCTGGAAGCGCAGTCCCGCGAGGCGGGGCGCCGGCAGCGCGGCGAGGCGGCGCTGCTGCGCGGGGAGGCGCTTCCCTCCCTGGGAGGAGCGACGGAGAAGGCGGAGGAAGAGGACGAAAACGAGGAGGAGGATGAGGAGGAGGAGGGGGAGGAGGAGGAGGAGGAGGCGGAGGAGGAGGAGGAGGAGGTGGAGGAGGAGGAGGAGGAGGAGGGGGAGGAGGGCAGCAGCAGCAACAGCAGCAGAAGAGGGGTGGTAATCATAATAACAATAGCACGAAAAACGTATGGTAGTAGTAATACCAATAACCGCAATAATAGCCATACTCGTAATGGCCATGCTGATGTTCATAAGAAGACGCGTGATGATATTGATGATAACAATGATAATAGTGGTGCTAACAATGATAATCCTACGAAGACTAAGCTCAATACGATCAATAATAATATCAGCAGTACTAATAACACGAGCGCTATTCAGAATATTCATGTTATCAATCGTAGTACTAAGTATACTGGTAAAAATAAGACACATACCAATGACAATGCTATTACCAATGTTAAGAATGACACGGTTAATCTATCAACATTTGTAGTAACACTAACAGTAGCAAAACCATTCGTATCAGGTTTGTAATGTTAACTATGTTAGTAGTACACAATAAATGGTAATACTGATAACATGATTGAAACTAGAATACCAGTACACAAACAGTAATCATGCTAATAAGAAGTGTGTAGTAGTAGTAGTAGTAGTAGTAGTAGTAGTAGTAGTAGTAGTAGTAGTAGTAGTAGTAGTAGTAGTGGTCTTAGGCAGTGCTAGTAGTAGTATGCACGGTAATACGGATAGTGCGAACAAGACGAACAATATATAATAACAGTAATACGATTATTCAGAAATATTACGAATAACAGCAATTTCAATAATATGAATAATAGTAATAAGAGCATCGCAGTAACAACATTAGTAATACTACGAACCACAGTAATAACACTAATTTTATATATGTATACATAGACAGTACAGAACACACATTTACTCATATGCGTAATAGTACGACTACTAAACTAAAGTAGTATCTATATCTTCAGTAATACGAAGAAGCTTCTTATTAATAGTACAACTTCTTTACGAAGAAACATTCATTAATCAGACTCATTTTCTATGTTCTTCATCTAGGGTATAACTACTAAAACATTCTATTAAAGCGAAGATTATCCCAGTGCGACCCTACCTAGGAGTTGGAACCCCTAGGAAAGCAGCATTAGTAGTAACAGTAACGCTAAGCTAACGCTAAGCTAAAGCTAAGCTAAAGCTAAGCCACAGCTAAGCTAAAGCTAAGCTAACGCTAAGCTAAAGCTAAGCTAAAGCTAAGCTAAAGCTAAGCTAAAGCTAAGCTAAAGCTAAACTAAAGCTAAGCTAAAGCTAAACTAAAGCTAAGCTAAAGCTGAGCAACAGCTAAGCTAAAGCTAAGCTACAGCTAAGCTAAAGCTAAGCTAAACTAAGCTAAAGCTAACGCTAAGCTAAGCTAAAGCTAAGCTAAAGCTAAGCTAACTCTAAGCTACATCTAAGCTAAAGCTAAGCTAGAGCTAAGCTAAAGCTAAGCCAAAGTTAAGCTAAAGCTAGGCTAAAGCTAAGCTAACCGCTAAGCGAAAAGCTAAGCTAAAAGCTAAGCTAAACGCTAAGCTAAAGCTAAGCTACAGCTAAGCTAAAGCTAAGCTAACGCTAAAGCTAAAGCTAAAGCTAAACTAAAGCTAAGGCTAAAGCTCCCAGGAGACTGGGGGAACCGCGGGGCGGGGACTGGGGGAACCGCCCGGGGCGATTTCCACTGCCTGGCCCCTTTCAGCTAAGAGAGTAAGAACCCTTCTAGGCAGAGCCTAGGTAGGGAAAAAGTAATAATACACATATGCGGATAGTAATAAGACGAACAATGATAATATTAGTGATAAGGGTAATTCTTTACGCTTCGCGCATCCCCACCAGCCCATCTCACAGCAGCAACTCTCGCGAAGCATGCCGACAGTCGTGTTTTTCAGGCGTGTGTCCGCTTGGCCCCGCATATCTCCCCTGTTCCTCCTTCCTCCCGCCTCCTTGTACATCCTCCTTGTGGGGGGAGCGGGAGAAGGACGAGGCGAAGGAGGAGGGAGAGAAAGCGCTCCTCGTGGTTTGAGTCGTTTGGGGTTTCTCGTCCTGGTGTGAGTCGTTCGGGCCCTTCTTCCTGGTGTGAGTCGTTCGGGCTCTTCGTGGTGTGAGTCGTTCGGGCTCTTCGTCCTGGTGTGAGTCGTTCGGGCTTCTCGTGGTGTGAGTTGTTCGGGCCCCTCGTCCTGGTGTGAGTCGTTCGGGCCCCTCCTCCTGGTGTGACTCGTTCGGGCTCCTCGTGGTGTGAGTCGTTCGGGGCCCTCGTCGTGGTGTGAGTCGTTTGGGCTCCTCGTGGTGGCTTGTATGAGCGCTGCCCCTCCTCCTGGTGTGACTCGTTCGGGCTCCTCGTGGTGCGAGTCGTTCGATGCCCGCGTCGTGGTGCGAGTCGTTCGGGCTCCTCGTGGTGTGAGTCGTTCGGGCGCCTCGTCCTGGTGTAAGTCGTTCGGGAACCTCTTTGTGGTGTGAGTCGTTCGGGCTCTTCGTGGTGTGAGTCGTTCGGGCCCCTCGCCCTGGTGTGAGTCGTTCGGGCTCGTGGGGCCTCTTGGGGGCCTCTGGGGGCCTCTTGGGGGCCTCTTGGGTGCCTCTTGGGGGCCTCTTGGGGGCCTCTTGGGGGCCTCTTGGGGCCTCAGGGGGCCTCTTGGGGGGCCTCTTGGGGGCCTCTTGGGGCCTCTTGGGGCCTCTGGGGGGCCTCTTGGGGGCCTCTTGGCGGCCTCTTGGGACCGCTGGGGCGCCTCTGGGGGGCCTCTAGGACGCCTCTTGGGAGCCTGCTGGGAGCCTCTGGAGGCCATCTTGGCGCCTCTTGCGACCTCCTCGGCAGCGCCAATGAGAGCTGCCCCCTGAAAAGAACAAAATGAGTCCAAAACCTTCGTAAAAGCAATGATTTTGTTATGAAGGACGATCAGCGCGGCCCCCTCAGAGCGCCAAAATGAGGCCAAAACCGTAGTAAAATCAATGATTTTGGCTTTCAAGAAGAGCAGAGGGGCCAAAGTGGTTCCCCCCGTCGGGGCCAGAATCCTCGTGAGGGTCGTCGTTTTTTGGCCCTTCCAGGAGTCAAAAAAGACCCCCCTGACCACGCTCGGCCCGCCCTCTCCAGGTCAAGGGGGAGGGGGTAGGGGGAGGGGTAAACCCCTCCCCGAAGGGGAAGAAGGGGGGTTGAGGACAGAGCGGGCTCTCTAAACCACTCACGCCCAAAGGGCTGGTGGGATTCGAATATGAAGAACGAGCGAAGCAACCATACGCCAAATGCGCGTGGGCAAGGCAAAGAGATGCGACGTGCCAAATGCGTGCAAGAGCAGACGATTACACGCCAAACGCGTGCCCAGATGGCCTGGACGCGCCAAATGCGCGCCGAGAGGACGCAAGGAAGAGGAGGAGGATGCCGAAGAGCAGATACTTTCACGCCAGAAGCGTGCACAACTGGCCTGGACGCGCCAAGTGCGCGCCGAGAGGACGGAGGGAGGAAGAGGAAGATGCTGACATATGTTTTTTTTCCGTGCCAAGACACACAAGCCATGCAATGCATATCCTGAGTTTTCGTCTTCTCCACATCCAGTTGGCCTGGAAAGTTTGATGCTGAAAGCGTGCCATCTTTCGTCGTCTCGGAGCGTGTCCATCAAAACGTCAGAACTAGGGAGACATGAAGAAATACTTGATAACGACTCTGCTTCCCATTCTCTTTTTGGTCTCCCCCGCGCACGTTTGCAAATCAACGTGATCTGCATGAGAGTATCAGGTTGAAACGTTGCCACACGCATCGCATGAATGTTAGGGCCCCGGCCAATCTTCCCAAATAGCTGAAGTTGTTGATGCAATAGTTGCGATGTGTAAGGCAGCCCTTGGCTTCTCTCCAGAACGGTCTTATTTGATATTCTAGAAATGAAAGAATGGTCAATATTCAATACTTTCCTGAGGCATTTCGCTTGGAAACTGTCCAATCGTCGTTTTTCGGCTTTGTTGAACCACGCCGAGCTGAGGGAATACATGGCTTAATTTGTGATCATCGCCTGGTAGATTGGTAGCTTCCTTTTGACGCTGATTGAAGTGTGCTTCCATACTTTCGTATATCTGCAGAACTCCCCCCAAACCTGCCCCAATTGTTTGTTTAATTCTGCATGTATGTGCCCATTATTGTTGATTGTAGCCCCGAGGTGCACTATATTGTTTTTTGCCTGTGTTTCTTCCCCGTGCGGCGTAATTAATTGCATCGTGTTGTCTACGTGCATAACTTGAAACTTATCCCAATGCAGCTCCATGCCAACTTGCCCCCCCAGGTGTAGTGACCGCATTCAATAAGTTTTGGACGTCTTGCTGGCGTCTGCCGTAAATCAAAGTATCGTCTGCGTACAACAGATTTGATAGCCATACCACTTTTGAATGACAATTTTGATTGTTCGCTAGGGAGCCCCACCGCGTCGACATATCGCCACCGTCATCACCATTGTGAACAAGAGCGGGGACAAAGGGCACCCTTGGTGCAATGCCGCAGCTCTGAGGCCTCTCTTGTGACTTTTGCCCCCCATCCGCCACACAGAACATCCTGTTAGTATATCTGTTTTTGATGATTGCCAGAAGACGCGTGGGTATACCGAATCTTGCAAGAGCTGTTAACATCGCCTCCACATTGATTGAATCAAACGCCTTCTTCCAATCCAGCGCGACGAAGGTTGAACCAGAATTGTGTTCTATGTTTGAGAACTGTCTATGTCGTCGTACCATATGTATTGCATCTGCCGTGCCGCGCCTCTGCAAAAACCAAAGTGGATTGCATCGAGCCGGTCTTCAGCACCAGCATCTTGCAACCGCTTTAAGAGTAAAGTTGCCACGATTTTGTACGCGACAAACATACGGACAATACGAGTAAGACTTACGAATTTGATAGTGCTACTAAGAAGAAGACGGACACCAATAACCTTAATACTACTACGAATAATTTTAATAAGAGCATCGCAGTAATAGTAATAGTAATACGACGAACATCACTGTTATCGCTACTAACAAATATGTGCACGTATGCAGTAAATAACATACACATATAGTAGTAATAATACTACTACTAATAACTAAACAAATAATATTAGTATACAAGCAATTGTAATCTTAATGCGACGGGTAGTTTGCATATGAAGAATATAGACACTAATAGTAATAACGATATGAATGTCAAGACTTACGATGTGAAGAATATGACGAAAAATGAGAAACATAGTCCGAGTAACCATAACAAAACGAAGAAGAACAGGAGAGGAGTAGGAGGAGCAGGAGGAGCAGGACGACCAATGACAACAAGGATAACTTTCAGGTACAAGAGCGAGACCACAGGCGACTGCGTCATCAAGTGGGTGCTCCCCTTCATGGTTGGAGGCGACGAGCCCAGGTCACCACTACCGCCAGGACCACCACCCGGGAGGACCAACGAGGTGTTCGACGTTACTACACCCGAAAGGGTCCACATGGTGCGGTACCAGGAATATCGAGAACGACACCAAGTTCTGCAAGAAGGTCATCTTCGCCATCTACCAGTTCAGCCACCTTGACCCAGCATCATTTCTTGCAGACATGCAACATGGGAGGGGACTTCTACAAACAGGTCAGGTGATACAAGACATCGCAAGGGACGTGACCACATGCCCCATCAACATGGCTTTGGTGCTGGACAAGCTCTGGGACACTGAGGATGACGCCGACATGCTCTGCCTTACCAGTAACCACCCAGTATCCAGCAAGGACACCTTAGCGCCGACGACACATGACGACGGAGAGAATTATGAGCATGCTGACGACAAGGATGATAATGCTGCTGATGATGACGATGACGGTGATGCTTCTGATGATCACGGGTGACGGTGACGATGACGATGACGATGGCGATGGCCATGGTGATGCTGGTGATGATGATGGTGATGATGATGCTGCCGATGATAAGGATGATGGTGATGCTCATGATGCTGCTGATGATGATGTTGGTGGTGATCACGACACTGACGATGACTATGCTGCTGACTCTGATGATGGTGATGGAGGTGCTGATGGTGATGTTGGTGACGATGATGATGATGATGCTGATGATGATGATGATGCGGGTGCTGCTGTTGATGATAATGCTCATGTTTGTGGCGATGCTGATGATGATGTGGATGATGATGGTGATGATGATGCAGATGTTGATGACGATGCTGATGCTGATGCCGATGATACTGGTGATGATGACGACTCTGATGTTGGTGACTATGATGGCAATGGTGATGATGTTTGTTATCATGATGAGGATGATGATGCGGATGATGCTGATGATGATGATGACGATGATGATGGTGCTGATGATGCTGATGCTGCTGACGTTGATGATGCTGATGCTGATGCTGATGCTGATGCTGATGATGATGATGATGATGACGGTGATGATGGTGCTACTGATATTGCTGCTGATAGTGGTGGTTACGAAGATGATTATGATGACGATGGTGAAAATGATCATGATGATGATGGTAATGACGATGGTGATTATGATGATGATGATGGTGATGCTGATGATGATGATGCTGATGCTGATGCTGATGATCAGGATGATGGTGATGATGCAGATGATGCTGATGCGATGATGATTCTTAGTAGTGTTGTTATTATTGTCATTGTTGTTTATGTTGTTATTCGTATCACTATTAGTACTGATATTATTATCACTATTATTACTCGTTGTTCTCCACATAAGCTTGCCCTGTAGGGGTCCTAGCTCAATCACTACTAATTGGTCCCTTGCCCCCCCCTCCCCTAATTCCTATGCCACCTCCCCTAATTCCTATGGCTATGCCTATGCCTATGTCTATGCCTCCCCCTGTCTCCTATGCCTACGCCTATGCCTATGCCTGCTTGTTTGCTTCTTGCTTGCTTGCTTGCATGCGCGCTTGCACGCTTGCTTGCTTGCACGCTTGCTTGCACGCATGCTTGCTTGCTGACTCGCGGATTCCAAGCATGCTTGATTCCTCTGATTCCTTGATTTGAATCGTCTAACCTATTTGGAGTCAGCGCTGGTTTATATGATGATGATGATGATGATGATCATGATGATCGTGAATATGATGATGATGATGCTGATGATGATGCTGATTATGATGATAATGATGGTGATGGTGATGATGGTGATGATGGTGATGCTGCTGCTGCTGCCGATGCCGGTGCTGCTGCTGTTGAGCATGATGATGATGGTGGTGATGATGATTATGATGCTGATGCTGATGCTGATGCTGATGCTGCTGCTGATGATGATGATGGTGATGCTGCTGATGATGATGATGATGAGGAGGAGGAGGAGGAGGAGGTGTGATATATACGCTGTACATCTTGTGTGTATGCTATGTTGCAGTGTGCAGACAGTGTAGAGCAAGGCTGTAGCATAGCGGGTGTAACAGTGCACTTTGGCCCAAACCTTTCCAGGGCCCTTGAGTCAGACCGAGCACGTTGTGGAAAACGTCTCAGATGTTTCTTTGGTTTCTCATTCTCATTGCCATCAAAGACTTCGTGGGCTTTGATAAGTTCATATTGGTAGCGGAGCCTGTCGATCTTTCGGCAGGCTCGTCGGCGCCCTCCATATTCCGTGGACCGATCAGCATCGACGGCCACAGCTCCATATTGAGTGGCTTCGAGCTCAGCTTCAGCTACATCTCGGAATCGACCTCCAGCGAGGTCCAGAGCGACAATTCCAGCAGCGAGTACGAGCAGCATCAGCATTCTCCTCTCGACAGCGAGGACGACATCTACGCCGCCAAGGTCAGCATCATGGCAAAGGCAGGCGGCAGAGGAGCCGGCGACCAGCAGGCAATACTACCAGAACGCGGAGTTCCACAGTTCGACGGCACACTGTCGAGATGAAAGGAATACGAGAAGCGGGCGACTATGTTCATAGCGCAGCTTACCTTGGAGAAGAAGGAGGGTGAAGCGGCTCTCATGTTATCGGCTGGGCTGACGGGTGAAGCCTGGGATGAAGTTGAGGACCTCACGGCGGACGACCTGATCAAGCCTGGCGCGGCTACAGCGCTGCTCGCACGCTTAAGGAAGCGATTCAATATGGACACACGGACGGAGTTGGCAGATGACTTGAAGGAGTATTTCTACAAGTTACGACGTAATCGAGCAGAGACCCTGCTCAGCTATATATCAAGAGTTCGGGCGTCAGAGCGGAAGCTCAGGACGCATGACATCGAGCTGCCGTCCAAGGTTCGGGGGTGGCTGATTCTACGACGAGGTGGTTGCAGTTCAGACCAGAAGGCAGTCATCATGTCCATCGTGGGCAAGGATATCACACAGGACAAAGTGATCGAGGCGCTGGAGGCGACAGTCGGACAGGAGTGCACGGCATACGAGCCTAATCATGCACGGAAGCGGTACCACGTGGACGACGAGATGGGAGAGTACTACGAAGAAGATGCATACTATGGCCAAGACGACGAACTAGAGTTCGACGACGGCTACGAGCAGGAGTACTGGGCCGAGGACGGCGACGAGAGCTGGTACGACTGCGAGGGGGCCTACTATCAGCGGGACACGGCGACGATGCAGGACTTCGACGTATCGGAGTACGACGAGGTCTACGCTCGCAAGCGTTTCAACGACTTGAAGCTTGCACGAGGCTACTACCCGGTGGTGGCGATGGTACCATGCGCGACGGGATCATCAGCACCGGCAGCACCGAGGCGCCCTCCGAGCAAGGGCGGAGCTAAAGGACGCGGACGATCTCGAGGAGCTTGTAAGAAGGGCAGCCCAGGACGGAAGGGCTCACCACGCTCGGCACCAGCTCGCCCATTCAATCCGTATACGAGGCCAAGACCCACGGAGAGGGCGGATGCAGCTACGAGGCCAGCACCATCCAAGGCGACGTGTCTACGATGTGGCGGAGTCGGGCACTGGGCGAAGGACTGCCCAGAACCACCGAAGAAGCGGCCCCGCGGACAGATGGATCAAGAGATGATGGTGGACGAAGTCTACTGGGGCGACCGCAAGACGGCCAGCATCATTCCCGCGCAATTGGCGATCCTGGACGGCGGCGCGACTACGCTTATGTCAGGTTCGGAGACTATCAAGGAATACCTGACCACATGCCGTCCAGGGGCTGCCCGGTGGAGACGCTGGAGTTTCACGCGTGTCGGAGGCCATTCCGTTTCGGCAATGGCAAGGTGGGGCACGCGCTGTGGTGCGGTGTCATTCCAGCGAGCTTCAAGGGCAAGACGGGGACCCTGTGCATCTACCTTGTTCCAGGGGAGACGCCAATGCTCTTCCCGCGGCCCCTGCTGGAGAAGTTTACAGTGCAGGTTGACTTTGCGATTCAGCAGCTGGCGTGGAACGGCGGCAGCTACGAGGAGGCGCGCACGTCTCCGCAAGGCCATTACATGGTGGATCTGCTTGAGGACATGGACGTCCAGACGAAGGACATTCAGTTGGACTTTGCCGGTCGATTTCAAGGAGTTCATGGACGGCGATAGGACCATCAGCGGCCTGGATTTTCTAGATGAAATCTACAAGGTCGACAATAGCCGCAGCGATGATGGGGAACAGTGGGAAGTCGCGCATCAGCGGGCGCACTCAGAAGGATGCCCGCAACGAGTCGTGAAGGTCAACTGCTGTGGCGAGTACATGAAGCAGTATCGGTGTCAGAATCATGCGTCCTGCGGCAACCTTTGCTTCGCAACGACGCCGATCCAGCCAGTCGACCCGAACCTGCCAGAACCATGCTGGCGCCTGGCGGACGCCTACAGCGACGTGACGCAGCTCGCCGAGCAGGACACCTACAGCAGCGACGACGGCGACGAGAGATAGGTCACGACCAACTTCATTCAGAAGATCGACTCGGCGATCAAGCACGCGAGCGACCAGCGCGTGCAGACGATGCGGCGTGCAGCGGCAAAGCGCTGCGCCACGCGACGGAAGGTCTGGGAGGTCTATGCAGGCGAAGCTCGGTTATCTCAGAGTCTACGCGACCTCGGAGCGGACGTCGAGACCTTCGGACTACACACGGGCTGGGACTTCGCGAAGGCCGAACACCGAGAGCGGTTCAAGCGCAAGCTACACGAAGAACAGCCAGACGAAGTACATCTCTCCCCGATGTGTGGACCTTGGTCCAACATAACATTCACCAACACCCAGGTTGGAAGGAGTATCTTATTGAGCTACGTGACTGGCATCATCGGACACACCTGCAGTTCGTGGCGGACGTCTACCACATCCAGTGTGAAAGTGGGCGTCATGCTCACGTGAGGCATCCAGCCACATCGAGGGCCTGGCAGACCAAAGCCTGGTCCAACCTACCGGGCTACGCGGCGACCTTCGACCAGTGCATGTACGGTCTCACCCTACCAGGGAACGACGATCAGCCGGTCAAGAAGCCAACCACCATCAGGACCACCAAGAAGCTCATGGCGGCTGTCATGAGCACGCGATGCGACAGGTGCCACCAACACACAGTACTGGAGGGCAACCAACGTGGGCGGCAGCGGCGTCAAGCGCACGAAGGTCCCGGAGGACTACCCGTTCATCTTGGCAGCCACCCTGGCACAAGTTATGGTGGAGGCCGAGGTCGCGGAGATCTACAACGGCGAAGACGTCAGCAGCGGCAGCATACCCACCTCGACGGACGAGACGGCGAAGGAGGAGGCACTCGCAGTTACGCAAGAAATACGGCACCGAGGCGTTGCGCTACGTCAAGCGGCTGTGCCGGAACATGGGACATCCTAACCCGACGGTACTACATCGGTTACTACAGCAAGCAGGGGGTCAGGAGAACGTGCTCAACTGCGCGTCTGCGTATCGCTGCGAGCACTGTATGCAGCGGCAGCGCCCGCCTAAGGCACCCACAGCGTCAGCCAAGCAGCCGACGAAGTTCAACGAGACCGTCTACACCGACGTGTTCTGGGTCAAGACAGTGACAGGCAAGACGGCCATCCTGTCGATGGTGGACAGTGCTACCAGGTACTGTGCCCTACGGACGATCAAGACGGAGACGGCCGACGAACTGATCAAGGCGGTCGAGCGCGGCTGGATCAGGCAGTTCGGTCCCATGGGCGAGCTACGTACCGACGACGGCCCAGGCTTCGCGTCGGACAAGTTCACGCAGTTCCTGGAACAACACAGTATCAGTATTGTGATCGCAGCAGGCGAGGCTCACTCTAGTCTCGGAGTGGTGGAGCGACGTCATCAGGTGGTTCGAGAGGCGATCGAGCTCTACTGCCAGGACGCTATTGAGCGTGCGGCCAACGCGGTGCTCGACGAGAAACTAATCGCCGAGGCGTGCATCTATGTGCCCCACCAGGTCAACCGACTGGCGTTCACCTTAGGGTACTCACCATGCCAGTGGGTTCTGGGCATGGATCCCACTACGACGATGACCAACTCCAGCGACAAGTTCTCACCAGCGACCCTTTACCATATGAAGGAGGACGAGGACTTCAAGGACGTGCTGGAAAGGAGGTCTATGGCGGCGTTAGCTTTCATGAAGGCGGACGCCTCAGCCAAACTTCCACGCGCACTCCTACGACGACACGTGGCGCTCAAGCACGATTTGTCCATCGGCCAGCGGTGTTACTATTGGCGCGAGGGCAAGACTAACAAGCTGATCAAGAACAAGTGGAAGGGCCCCGCAGTCGTGGTGTTCGAGGAGATGCGCCAGGACGAGAGTGGACCACGCATCTACTGGATCGTTCACGGCGCGCAGCTACTACGGTGTGCACCTGAACACGTTCGGCCAGACGTGAGTGATCAAGGGTGCGTTCTCCTCGAGAACCTGACCCAGGCCAAGGATGCACCGGGCAGTATGCGGAGGACGGGCGTGACACAGTACCGCGACATTAGCTCACAGCAAACCCCGTTCGACGCACCGGGCGACTCGGACATGGACGTCGACGACGACGCGGAGGGCGGAGACGGAGACGAAGGTCCAGCATCCAAGCGACGTCGAGGAGGAGGTCCTGCTTCTAGGACGGCCCCCGTGGCGGAGGTACCTACAGAGGCATCGTCATCTGGGTCAGCGGCGGCAGCGGCCACGGCAACACCAGAGGTGCCACCAGCCGCAGCAGCTCCAGCGGAGGATCTTCCTGACGCGGAGGCGCTGGTACCCGATGGCAGTCGACAGACGTCTAACTCTGGTCAGCCAGGCCAGGAGCCGATGCCGACGACACCCCCGCCAGAGCAAGAGCAGCCAGCAGCTCAACCGACAGCGCAGCCAACGCAGACAGCGCAGCCAGCAGCCTCATCGTCATCAGCGGTGGCAGCACCATCATCGGAGCAGGAGCTCGGATCGACACAGACGCGGTCGAGGCCTATATCAAATCTTCAGAAAGAGCGGCTCAGGATGGACAAAGCAGAGGCGGCGATATTCACCAGACCTGGAGGCGGAGTCTTCAGAGGCACTCTACCCGACCCTGGGCTGAGCAGCGCGGTACCAGTACCGGGCCTCGACGATGCTGACGACGAACTTGCAGCTCTACAGCTTATGGTCACCAGTCAGGATTCGCCATTCGGCTGGGAGTTCGACGGCACGGATGCGAAGCTCAGCGACATCTTCGTGGACATCAGCACGAGGAACATGACGCCCCACGAGCGTGCGGCGTTCATGCAGGGCAAGCGGAAGGAGCTGACGGAGTTCTTCGGCAATGACGTCTGGGAGTCTCACAAGCCCACCGGGGAGGAGGACCCTCGGCGGATACTCAAGGCGAAGTGGGTGCTCAAGTGGACAAAGAACGACGACGGCGCACCACGTGCCAAGGCGCGGCTGGCACATTTCAAGGACCCCGACGCACTCAGTGGCGCAGTGCCGACGGCGTCGCCTACAGCATCGAGACTGGCAAGACAGATGGCGCTACTACTGGCGGCTAACAACGGCTGGAGACTATGGACAGCAGACGTAACTACTGCATTTCTTCAAGGACGACCCCAAGAGCGCGAGTTATATGCGAAGGTGCCCAAAGACGCGGCAGAGCTCATGGGCATCGAGCCGAATACTCTTATGAAGCTCATTAAGCGAATGTACGGCCAGGTGGACGCACCGAGGCGTTGGTGGCTACGTGCGGTGGACGACCTGAAGGCCAGTGGTCTGAAGCAGCATCCTTTGGACCCCTGCGCGTTCCTCAGTTTCGATGAGGACGGCAATAATGACGGTTTCATTCTACTCTATGTGGACGACATGCTGGGAGGTGGAGATCGGCGGCCGGCCAGTAACTGTAGTCGAGCTATCGCCGAGGTAAATTGACGCAGACCCCGCACTGGGAGAACCCGAAGTCGAACAGCAGCGAGATTGAGGTGAAGATGGCGACCTACGTCAAGAACCTGGAGCCCATCACGATCGCCAGAAGAGCAGCGACAACACGAGGGAGCTCACTATCAAGGGGAAGCGGCAGCTACGAGGCCTACTCGGAGCGTTGCAGTGGCCAAGCTCTCAGGCGTGTCCTCATCTTTCGGCTTCGGTCAGCATTCACCAAGGGCAACTACTTACGGCAACAGTGGGCACGGCCAAGGAGGCGAACGAGACACTGCGGTTCTACAAGCAGAACTCGGACGTCGGGCTCAAGATTAAGAAGATCGGCCAGGTATGCGACATAGTGTTCGTAGCAATGACGGACGCAGCCTGGGGAGTTCGACTGGGAGGGTCCAGTCAAGGTGGCTACGTCGTCCTGGCATGCCACAAGAAGATATTCGACGGACACGAGTCCGACTTTAGCGTGATCGACTGGAAGTCTTTCAAGCTACTGCGCATGGCGCGTTCCTCTCTACATGCGGAGTCACAGGCAGCAGCAGCGGGCATGGATGGCTGGGAGTTTGCGATGCGATTCTGGGCAGCCCTGATCTACGACGGCGTGGACATCACGAAGGATGAAAGCACCCGCATGGCGGGTGAGCCAGCACTAGTTGTGGACGCGAAGGCGCTCTACGACGCGGCCCAGAAGGAGAGCATCGCTAGCTTCCAGGACAAGCGAACCGGCATCGAGGTGCTAGCGCTGCGTGGGAGGATGGAGGCTACAATGACACGCTGGAGGTGGGTATCTTCAGAGAGGCAATGCGCGGACGGGCTCGCGAAGATCGCGGCGAGACAGCTCCTCGCCGACCGTCTGCGACATGGCTGGCTACAGCTCAAGCATGACCCGAACTACCCGGCGGCGAAGAAGAAGACCAAGGAAGAGCGACAGGATAGCATCGATCAGACCAGGCCGGCGGCGTCGGCGGCTACGCGGAAGGCAACGACACCGTTCATGCAGTTGGCGGTGTTCGCAATTTGTTGTTGCAGATCGGCGGCTCACTCGGGCTGCGACGCGAAGAACGAGAACGACGGCTATGGTATTTTGATTTGGTTTGCCATTTTTTTTATTTCTTTCTTTTTTTTTCTCTCCTTTATTTCCATATGTCTTGGGTTATGTGGAGCCTATCCCGTTGCGTCCTACCTGATCAAGATCGCGGGGGCCGAGTTCAAATGCAAGACTGAGTTGGCAGTTCTCCGGGCGAAGGCCGAAAAGGAGCGGATCGAGAAGGAGAGTGAACCAAAAGGGCCACCAAGTGACGAGCGCGGCGGCTCGTCGAACGACCTGTGCACGGCCAGGGCGGTGGGAACGCAGAGCATGACGACATACAAGCTCAGCGGAGACGTACGGAGGTTTCAGCATCAGACCCAAGGTTTTCGCAGAGCAGGCGAGGTGACGACCGAGCCAGAGTTGGTAGAAGGTTTTCGAGTTCACAAGTGAGGTTGATATTCAATACTATTCTTTCTTCGTTCTGCGGCTTTCATTGCTTGCCGCCCGAGAGTTTACGATGGTGGATTTCGTTTGGAGATCCCTTTGCGATCGTGGATTTCGTTCGGAGATCCATGTATGATTGTGGGTTTCGTTTTGGAGGTCCATTTACTTGCAGTGCGATATATCGGCATTGTTTCTCTTAGCGTGGAGTCAGTTACACTTTCTCACGCATTGTAACTTTGTTTTTCATCATGTTTATTGTTAATGCTATCTTAGGAATGTTTACCTGGATTTGTTACATTTCAGACTGAAGGATGGCTTCTCTCTGTTTCATGTGTTTTTACTCTTTCACGGGTGTGAGACATACGCTGTACATCTTGTGTGTATGGTATGTTGCAGTGTGCAGACAGTGCAGAGCAAGGCTGTAACATAGCGGGTGTACCATTGCACTTTGGCCCAAACCTTTTCAGGGCCCTTGAGTCAGACCGAGCACGCTGTGGAAAACGTCTCAGATGTTTCTCTGGTTTCTCGTTCTCATTGCCATCAAAGACTTCGTGGGCTTTGATAAGTTCATAGAAGGAGGAGGAGGCATTTGGCTCGGTGTTGCCACCGCGCCCCAGGAGTAGGAGTAGCAGGGGGAAAAAGAGGAGGAGGAGGAGGAGGAGGAGGAGGAGGAGGAGGAGGAGGAGGAGGAGGAGGAGGAGGAGGGGGAGGAGGAACATCAGGATGAGGAGGAGGAGGAGAGAGTTTTTTTTTTCGTGGTGGGGGGGTGGGCGTCGTATCTTGCTTGTTTCGGCCCCAGCAGGTGCGCGACCTCGGTCTGCGCGCCCGCGAAGCTGGCGCGCGGGCGACCGAGGAGGGCGCCGCCCTGCAAAGCGAGCTGGGAGCTGCGCGCCGCGAGCTGCGGGGCACGTTGTGCGAGGCGCAGCGGGCCGAGGCCGGCTGTGCGCCGCCCCCCTTTTATATAGACGTGCATATACACATATCCATACATACATACATATGGCTATACATTTCCGTATACACATACAGGTCCATGCCATAAATGTCATACATACTATTATACATGGTGCCAGCGATGTATACACATAAATCATCTACGCACATGTATGTTTGTATACACACATAAATGTACGTATATTTAGACATAAGTATACATGCATCTTCATC